TGTGAACCTCCATGTGCAGATTTCGTGGCAGGCACAGCACTTTGTGATTTCGTGGCAGGCACAGCATCTGGGGAGCTGGAAGCTGAGAACTGGCGGCTCTTGTAGTACAACTTTAGTACGCGGAGCAATTTGTGAGCTGGAAGCTGAGAACTGGCGACATTGTAGTACAACTTTAGTACGCGGAGTATCTGGCAAGCTGGACGATGAGAACTGGCGACTTTGTAGTACAACTTCAGTACGCGGAGCAATCTGTGCAGCTAGAAGCTGAGAACTGGCGACTTCGTAGTACAACTTTAGTACACGGAGTATCTGGCGAGCTGGACGAGGAGAACTGGCGACTTTGTAGTACAACTTTACTACGCGGAGTATCTGTGGAGCTGGATGGTGAGAACTGGCGACTTTCTAGTACAACTTTAGTATGCGGAGCAATCTGCAGAGCTGGAAGCTGAGAACTGGCGACTTTGTAGTACAACTTTAGTACGCGGAGTATCTGTGGAGCTGGATGGTGAGAACTGGCGACTTTCTAGTACAACTTTAGTACGCGGAGCAATCTGTAGAGCTGGAAGCTGAGAACTGGCGACTTTGTAGTACAACTTTAGTACGCGGAGTATCTGGCGAGCTGGACGATGAGAACTGGCGACTGTGTAGTACAACTGCAGTACGCGGAGCATCTGGGGAGCTGGAAGATGAGAACTGACTGTCGACTTTCTAGTACAACTTTAGCGCGCGGAACAACCTGTGGAGAAGCTGAGCACTGGCCACTTTGTAGTACATACACTTGTACATGCCCAGTTGGTTCAACACGCCGTTGTGGGCTGCTGATCTTGTCGTGGCAAAGATACAACCCAGTACGCTGTTGTGAGCTGCTGATCCTGCAGGGGGCACACACCTTACACACGTGGAATCCCGTGGGTCAAAAGTCCGGAGCGCGTGCGTTTGACTGGAGGACGCGCATGTTGTAGAGAACGTGGACACTCCTATAGGTCAATTTCTTCTTATATGAAACTTCCGCCGTCGGCTTGCCCGGGAACTACTTGTACATGTCCCCTAAATAATGCTAAATTTTTTGGGATCTTGTTTTTGGGGTTGACTCCAAAACTTAATAATGTTTTATATATACTCTCAGCTGCTTCCAAACCTGATTCTGATTTGTTTTGTTTCAAAACTTTTAGGATATCTGATTTGGCTGTTGCATTTTCCTTTTAAAGTTTCTTATTTGGGCATTGCCAGTTGTTGTTTGAAATCAACCCACAAAGGGTACCCCCCACAAGCTGCCCAAACCTTCAACTACACCAGACCTGAAATAATG